GAACAGGGTATAAAGTAGGCTAGGGGATGTGTATTTCATACATCTGCAGTCTCAGTTTCTGACCTGGGTGAAATCCTGCATGAATGCAAAAGAATCCTCTACATTTTAGAAATTCTCTTGTCAGGTCTAAGAGATTTGAATTTAAATGTGCGTTTTACAACCTGTCACTTGAATAACTTATTAGTTAAGTCTCTCAAAATCAAAAGAACTTTAGGTAAAGGAAAAAAAAAAAAAGCAGATTTTTTTTTTTCCCCTTACCGGAGATTGAACTCGGGTCCTTACACTTGCGAGGCAGGTGGCAGAACCACTGAGCTAAATCCCTGGCCCCCAAACCCAGATTTTTTAGTAAAAACAATTATCAACATAAACCAAAACCTGAGTAATATACACATTCTACAAGTGAGATTCTGAGGCTCACTGGATGTGTGAGGGGACTAAAATGCTTTGCAGTAAATGGATTATTTCAGATTTTCTAGATGGGGAAATGGCCTCAGAAAGCTCTTCATTCATGCATTTTACGTAACAGCTGTCCATTCTATAGGCTATAAAGCTGTAGGGGATACAATGAACTGGGCTATAAAATAGCTTCTTAGAGTGAGACTGATGTAAAGCCAATTTCTATAACCACCTTTTCCTCCTGAAACTCTCCTTTACTCTCAATTTAAACTTAATTCTCCCTTTTTGGAAATTCCTGGTGTATTTATTTGTGATTCACTTCCACCTAAGCAGTAGAGCCTATACATAACCAATATCCATAGGCCACTGGTTGAGGGGCACCTTTCGTGGGTGGTATACAGGAGTATAATTAGACACACACACAAAGTTAAACCAAGAGTACTTTAATTTTGGCTTAATAATGCTCTTATTCAACCCACCTCATCTACCTCATAAACTACAAAGACTATTTAGGCGTAAGAACATACAAAACACATTTTTAAATACACAAACCCCATAGGGAAATAGTTTGCATCGTCACACCCTCTTCATTGCCTCAAATCATCTTTACGAAGCCTGAAAGGTGGAAACTCTTCCAGCTAGCTGACAAATAAGGACCTACAAATTATTAAACTACATTCTACACATGACTTGTCCAGATTCACCAGTAAGGTTTAGCTGAAAACCAGAATGGGTAAATAAACAGTAGGGGCCAAATTGCTATTTTTGGTAAAATATACTCTAATTTATACAAATTTACAGCTCTATGCCAATTTCTGGTGTGCGTTAAGTTAAAATTTGATGACTGGTGTTTGAGGGGGACAGCTAGAGCTCAATCCAGGGGTTTAGCCTGTTTTTTTTTTTTTGGTACCGGGGATTGAACTCAGGACCTTGTGTTTGCGAGGAAGGCGGCAGAACCACTGAGCTAAATCGCCAGCCCATAGTCTGTTTTTGCTAATTCTCACCTCAGAACCTTCTCACATCAACCACTCAAACTGAGCTGTCACTTCTGTTATTCCCTGGCAATAGTTATTTCATTTATTTTGGCCATTAAACATAAACAATGCATAACTAAATGTATTTTAGTTTAAGACCATAATGAAGACCAAAAGGAAATTTCATTTGTGTAACTAATGACTCATTATGAACTCTGCTCAAATCATATACTTATTCTTAACAAGAAAGCAAAGGAGGGAAGGAAGGGGAAGGGAGGGGAAGGGGAAGGGGAGGAAAGAAAGAAGGAAAAAATTTACTTCACTAAAAATTTGGTTTATAAACAAGACTTCTGGGCTGGGATGTAGCTCAGTAGTAGAGCAGTTGCCTAGTATGTACAAGGCCCTAGGTTCAATCTCCAGCACTGCAAAGAAAAAAAAATATCTTATCATTTCTTTTGCTAAACTCCAAATAAAATAGTAAAGATATTCTTACTTCCGCCCCCACCGCTGAGTACTGAACCCTGGGTGTTACAGATGCTAGGCAACTGCTCTACCCACAGCCTTATTCTTACTCCTTTTTTTTGGTTTTTTGAGGCAGGGTCTCACTATGTAGTTCAGGCTGTCCTGAACTCACTATAAAGCCCAGACTGGCCTCAAACTTGTGGCAATCCTGCCTCAACCTTCTGAGTGCTGGGATTACAGGTGTGCCTCACCATGCCTGGATTCTTACTACTTAACAAGCTCCCCACCACCACCAACCCAAAGACTTCACACTAAGTTATTATCTCCAGTCCTTTAAAAAACGTTTTTTTTTTTTTGAGACAAGGTCTTACTAAAGACCAGGCTAGGCTTGAACTTTCAATCCTCCTGCCTCAGCCTCCCAGAGTGCTGAGATTACAGGAGTGTGCCACCACACTCAGCAATAAGTAAACTTTAAAAATACCTTTTATTTCTACATAAAACAATCTAGTGCTTTCAGGGGAGAGGAGACTACATAAAACCCTTTAAACACAATTTAAATGACAAGTAAAGAGACACAGACTTCTGTCATCATGGGTAAAACCTAGCTATCCCATAGCTCAGCTTCCAAGCCAGTTTATTCCAAAATCTTTCTTTTTTCTTTCAGTACCAGGGATTGAACTCAGGACCTTGGACTTGCAAAGCAGGAGGAGCACCACAGAGCTAAGTCCCTGGCCCTATTCCAAAACCTTAGGCAAGTAACAGTTCCTCTGTATCTTCTTCCAAAGTAATTGATTATAAAGACCCACCTTTGTTTCCGGATACAGTGGTGTACACCTATAGTCCCAGCTACTCAGGTGACTTGAACCCAGGAGTTCAAGACCAGCCTGAGCAACATAATGAGACCCCCATCTCAATAATAACAAGAACCTATTAAGGAAGGAAAGAAAACAAAAGAGAAAAATGAGAAGTAACAGTACAGCATATTTTTCACTCTGAATAGCAAACACTAGGTAATGTACAGTACTGATTTTATATAACCTCAAAAGACTTTAAGAATATTTAAAAGAGTAAAGAGAAAACATCTTATTGACTTCCTATTTATTTACGAGGCAGGGTCTTGCTATGTAGTTCAGGCTAGCCTTGAACTCAGGGAGATTCTCCTGCTTCAGCCTCCTGAGTGCCAGGATTACAGTTGTGCACCACGACTTGACTGCTTTAAATATATATACTGTAAGTATGTGTGACAGAGCTTATGGATCACCAAATGTGTACAGATAGGAATTCCAAAAATCTCAGTTCATTGATCATACAAAACAAGTAAAGAACAAGGACTAAAAGAACACAGTGCCAGTTTACAATGTTTGAATGAATTTACAATCCTTCTGTTTGTTCTGTAAAATAATTTAAAAAGTTCTCTCTGTTCTATGTGTCCACGTTTATTCAGATTGCTAGCTTTTCCTTCTGGAACTTAATATTATACACCATGAAAACTCCCAAAATATTATAGGTATAATCTAATTCAAAATGTAAAGAAAAATCTTCAGAAGCTTTCATAAAACTCTACCCTTCCAGGTGAAGTGTACACGCCTGTAATCCCAGTGGCTTAGGAAGATGAGGCAGGAGGATCACAAGTTCAAGCTAAGCCTGGGAAATTTAGCGAGAGCCTGTCTCAACACTTAAAAATAAAAAGCGCTGGGAATGTGACCTACCATGAAGGTTGTAGGGTCAATGGCCCCTCTCCCAGGGGCCTTTTCTACTACAAATAACATTTAAACAAGAATATACTGTTATTACTTCTAATGATCAACAAAAAATTGGCCAAACTGATCGCTGAAATACCAATCCAGAAGTTTTTGATTTTCCTGTTTGCTTTCAGACAGCCTTCTTTGTGCGTTCACATACCGATACTCAAACACACTTTCCATGCTGAGTCCAGATGGTCACGTGACTCCAGGAGTTCAGATTAATGAACATCTACAGCTATCATACCAAGCAAGCACTCATTTCTATAAGCAATTTGATTATCTTGCTGCATCTTTTTCTTTTTTATATATAATTTAAGTGGAATATGGGGGGATCAAAGGGTCCACATTTTAAGAACCACTGGCCTCTAAATGTAATACAAACTAGAAGAGAGGTCAGAGTGAGGAATCTCTAGCCTCAATCGGGCACATATAGGACTCAAACTACAGGTCATTTTCTTTCTGTGTGTCCTATTTGCCTTTTGGCTTTTTGAGAGAGGGTTTCACTGTATAGTCCAGGCTGGCTTTGAACTCATGGCAACCCTCAGCTTCAGCCTTCGAGCGCTAGGTGTGTGCCACCACTGTGAGACCCATGAGCTATTTTCAACTGAGAAAAGGGTAAATGTAGAGAATATGCAGAAAACACTGCAAGTTAAGAGCACATCTACAGAGTAAAGCACAATCAGGAGTTCTGGAATGACTTGAAGTCTCTACAGCGCCTCCCTATTTTCACTCATTATCTTTAGCAGAACTAGTGTTCACATATATCTTTAGGAATGTGTACAGTAGAATACAAAAGAAGGGAGCCTCCTATGCTGAGAATAAAGGAAAAAGTGACCCAAGATCAATTTTTTAATATTTACCAAATGATTCTGCAAGATTAGAAGCTGTTTTAGCAAGCAATAAATGCAAACAAACAAAACCCCTCAAAAAACCACTACTCTACAGTAAAAGGTGCTACACAAGAGACATTTATTAATGTTCTGTTGTATTTACAGTTTTAATATAGCAAACCAAGGTGAATTACTGCTTGAGCAGAAAGCACATCATTCTACATTTCTAATTCATCAATTTCTGCTAACACATTGTAAAAGCAAGTAGTACAGTATGTTAGGGATCATCTCAAAACTTCCAAGCTAATTCCTTCTTTGCTCCTAGTTACCTTATCTTTTGGGACTCAATTATAGAGTGTCAGAAATTACAGACTGTCAAGAATTACATTTTAGTAATGAAGCTGTACTCGTCTTTGTCCCTTCTATTTATACAGTAACAACACTTTTTGAATTCCTTAGGTACACACCACAGAATAATAAGGTATTGTTAAAATTCTGAATACAGACCATAAAAAAGTAATGCTTACTTACCAATTAAGAATGTACTTTTTGACCACAACTTAAATGTATTTCACACTATGATTTTGCTTTCAGGTGTTCACACACAGTACAACTGAATCAATTTCTAGATTAATTTTAACAGCAAATATGGATTATGAACAGATATGCAGTCATAATAAAAGTTCTTAACTTTGAGAAAACCCCTTTAAAATAACCATCCTTTTATCTTACACTAAAATCTTTAATTCCAAATTCATTTTTTTTTTTTTGGAGATGAAGAGTGAGTAAAGCAAGGTTGCCCCCTACTGACTACAGGGACATGGCTCATGCTATTTAAAATGACTACAAACAATACATAAGGCATTATTAATACATCACAGACTTGATTGCAAGAGTGTTTTCAAACATTAACCACTAATGATTCAATGATTACAGAATTCTGCATTAACTATTAAAATTTTACACCTAGGAACAAATAGAGAGAAATGATCTTTTTCAACAGTACTTTATTTTTTAAAGCAGGTGATTGCTCCTCTGTTCCGCATCTTGATTCACTTCCTGCAGGTGTTCACTTGCTTCTTGAGAGGGAATTCATAAGTGCAGGAAGGCCTTTGCCAGAAAACATCTGCCAGAGAAGAATATTGAATAGTGAAACTCTAGTTAGCTTGTTATTTTGGCTAAGAGAAGGATGTAGTCACAAAGGAAGGCAGGATGTTTGGAGACATGAGAGGTGCATTTTAACATAGTTTTAAGATTACTATATACTGACATCAAAGTATTCAATAAACAGTAAAGTTTTCGTTTTTAACATTACTAAGTCCTCCAGAATGAGAACTGCTGCTTCTGACAACCTATATGAGGTCTGTAGTGTCTTCCTATTCTCTTTTCTGTCCCAGAAAGAGAACAAAATGGAAGCAGCAATTTTTCACTCTGCATTTAACCTTGCCAGCAATATCTAAAACTGGGACAGAATTCAAGGGTACAGATAATTTCCCTAATACAACTGAAGCTATGGTTTCCTCTGACAATTCCGCCAAATCTCACACAGGAAGATTTCCAGTTAGCATGCCAATAACGCCATGCTATCAGCAAAGTTAAAAACAACTATAAAATCACAGATTTCACACAATACTTTTTAAAAACAAATTTTCTCTAAAAGCTGAAGTATTTTGGGGACATTCTTCTCTGAAAATAGTAAATAATATAGTCCCAATTTAGAGAAAGGAATATACATGACATACATACATATGCTCTCAAATATATAATTATCATTTATTTATTTATTTTGGTAGTGGGGATCAAACTCAGGACCTTGCCTTGTGAGGCAGGCGGTGAAACCACTGAGCTAAATCCCTGGCCTTGGTTTTTTGTTTTTTAAAGCAGAATCCAAGGGAAATATCATTTCTACTGTCTGGGTACTTTACAACAGTCTTCTAAATCAAACTTGACCTTGAGATGAATTTCCTTTACTAAGAGAGATAGTAGGAACTGGAGGAAAATTATAGAAAGGAAAGTGTTTGCCATCATATGGAAAGAAATTATAATATCTGACCCTTGAAAGGTACTGCTTACAGAACAAAGGAATCAGTTTTTAATTATGAACAGCCCTCACTCATCAGTGCCAGGACTTAAAAACCTTTTCCCTTCTATTTTAGATGTAATAAATTTTTAAAAATATTATGCTTCAAGGGCCAGGGATTTAGCTCAGTGGTTCCACCACCTGCCTTGCAAGTGCAAGGTCCTGAGTTCAATCCTGGTACAAAACAAAACAAAAAATATTATGCTTCAGGGCCAGAGATTTAGCTCAGAGGTTCTGCTGCTTGCTTTATAGGTGCAAGGTCCCGAGTTTGATCCCCAGTACCAAAAAAAAAAAAAGTCTCTCTAAAAATATACGCTTCACACTGCTCTCCGTGGTGAAACAGGTGGTTACTAACACCATTTGGCAATAGTACACTGCGGTTTGAACGTTTGTCCCTCATTCAAAGTTGGAAATTTACTCTCTAGAGACCTACGTTAGTACTGTTTGGAAAAGGGATTGTTGGGTAGTAATTAGGATTTGATTACATCGTGAGAGGGCTTTTGAAGAAGAAGGGGTAGAGTCCTGAGCTTTGAAGCCTGCTATCTCCCTGTGATGATCTCTGCTGTGTCAGTGTGTTGTTAAGAATGCCCTCCCTAGATGCAGCTCTTCAAGACTGGACTTTTAGTCTCTGCAATTGTAAGGAATAAATCACTTTTTTTATACTTCATACGTGCAAGTGCTTTCAGCATTTGCTAACAAGTAGTGTTAGCTATACTCAATGAACTGTTACCACCTTATAGTTACTGCAGCTAACCTTTCATTTACCCGGCAGCATCAGAGAAGAAAGTATTCCAGAAAGGTGTACTTTCTTTTTCTTCTGCAGTACTAAGAACTGAACCCAGGGTCTCTACCTATCTCAAGCCCTTTTAATTTTGAGACAGGGCAATCCTTCCTGCCTAAGCCTGCTGTGTAGCTGGGATTACAAGAAGGTGCCATCACACTTAGCAAAAGTGTACTTTTCAGTGAACTAGTAATTAAGAAAAAGTATGAATACTTTCCATGTTTTACCATTCACCTTGGGTAAAGATCTTTGGAAAAAAAATGTTATGTTTCTTTGTGAACAACACCTAACATTTCATTGCTTCGACTTCCTCACAGACACACACACTTGGAGCCACTGTGCCCACTTTTAGCAGTTTCTTTTGGCTCTTGTTGTGAAGTGGGAAACAATTTAACTGAGAAAATTAATGCACCCCCATCTTCAGGCTTAAGGCAACTCTGAAAGGGACCAGACTGCTTCACCTAAGAATAAAGCACAAGCTCAGTAACCTTCTTAGGCTGTATACCACCTGTTTTAGTTGATTAGAGAGGGGTGTCTTCTGTAATCATTTTAAGATTCGTGTATTTCTACTGTATCTTGGGTAGCTGAAACAAAGTCATTATTCTTAGATTCTCTTCCATTAAAATGACAAATCTTAGTAAAGCATGGAAGGCACATTATTTTTCTGTTAACAGCAAAGTTAGTTTTAAAATTTCCTACCTGTGGTCTTTCTGGCACAAAGTAAACCTACAGTTAGTTTTTTAAATAGTAACACTGCCATCAAAAAAGTAGGAGTTGAAAGAAAGTAAGACCTTCACACTTCACACAATGGTTTCCTGCACAACATTTAACTAAATTAAACTAAATTTGCTCTAAACTAGATAAGGACAGCTTACTAAATTTGGATCCAGGTGGAGAATTCTTACCCCTTAGGATATCATGGCTTTTCAGATTCCCTCTGAGGTTCCCCTACAAATCAGTTAGGAAGCCATTGGAATTCTGAATGCTGTTAAGTTCTCTCAACGCTCATTTGGAACTCGGAATCCTATGGGCATGGTGGGAATGATTTCAAACCAACTAAGGTATCAATCAATGCTGGGCAGAGAAGCAAATGAATGTTATCATGCCCTCTGATGTGAGACACTCATTTATCTACAGCCAAGTTCCAAACAACTCCAAAAGCACATTGCTGAATTCTGCCAGGCTCTTGAGTTCAAACAAGTACCCCGAACAGCTCCCCAGCATTTTACTAAGGGCTGCCTGCTCCAAATCATAACCCTGAAGATGCTTTGTTTCAAACTCAGAACACTCAAGAAACATTTCACAGATTTTGAAACAAACCAAATCTCAAATTTCAAAAATTAAAAAAAAAAAAAAAAAGATTTTAAAAATTAAAACAAAAACAACATCGTCATTAAAGTCGCTAACACTACCAGGAAATAGTATTTCAGGCTTTCTAGTGACCTATTTGTTATGTGGTAAACCCAAGATAAGGAAGGTACATAATTCCCTAAAAAGACTGAAATTTCCTTCCAAATAAGGAAAGAAGAGAATATACAGAGGGATAATTTCAGTCCACTGAGAAATTTATAGATACCATTTTACTATACTTATAGTCAATTATTTAATTGAACAAAACTGCACCAAACATCGGATATGCCTCTTAAAAGTTAAGATGTGCTAGACAAAAAGATATACCGTAGGCCTTAGGGCCTAAGCCAGTGTTTAATGTACCTGTGTCCAGACTCTGACTGAGCTCAAATTCAGGACATGCCATACATTTTAAAACATGCAATGTGAGATTTCGTTCCCCTTTAAAAACATCACAAACACACAAATATTTCCTTAAAGAAACTGACCTTAACACAAGCTAAGGTCATGTGTTACTTACCTAAGTACATTAAATTATATATGTAAAATGTTTAACAGTATCTGCTACATGGAGAACTTTACAACTATTAGTGTATTTTTATTATATTATGTTTGAAAAATTTTTGTTAAAGAAGGTGTCATCTTATTTTATTACTTAAAAGCTTTCAATGTTGTTCCATTACCAAGTAAATTAAGTATGGTGGATATATTTTGGTTTTTTGTTTGTTTGTTTGTTTTGTTTTGTGAGTCAGGGTCTCACTATTGTAGTTGAGACTGACCTGGAACTCACTATGTAGTCCAGGCTGGTCTCGAACTCACAGCGATCCTCCTGCCTCAGCCTCCTGAGTGCTGGGATTACAGGTGTGAGCCACCATACCCAGCCATGGATATATTTTCTATTTTTTTCTCATTGAGGTATAGTATAGTTACATTCATTATTGGGATCTTATACCTTTACATGACAGGTCTTGGTTCTCATTTTTCCCCCGTGTCCCTGCCCTCCCTTCACCCCTCCTCTCCTTGGATATATTTTCTTGACACATAAAATCTGACACCACAACAGGTCTTTAAAAAGAGTGAGAACCTCACTCTTAGTATACAATTACTTACAAAAATTATGACCCTAACAGCAACAAGAACAAAATGATGTTCACATGGACATCGCCCTGCATTAAGCCAACACGTCACTGTGCTAAAGGGCAGCTCTATGAACTTGACTGTTACACTGAAAATGGGCTTAGTATTTAAGATACTTAAGAACACTGATTCAACCTGGCTTTCCTGCCTTGACCCTCAATACTCCTTTATGCTCCAATTGAGCTGTGGCCTTATATTTCTCTGCCTCTATTTCTGCTCTTCACTCTGCCTAAAGTGATTCTGAAACCCTTCCCCACACTAATTTCTGCTAGTTGACAGTGTACTTATTATGCAAGACTTGTTACAACTGCTACATGCACGTCGTAAACTCCTGCCCGAGCTCTTCAGCTAATGCTGAAATGTCCACTCCTTCATCAACATAGCTCCCCAAAGCCCCAAGAACAAAGAGCCAAGTCCAAGAAGACCTAGATGGTCCTAGCAGAGAGCTCTCTGGCGTACTCTTTTTCAAAGTTCCCTACCGCTTCCTTTAGATAGCTACTGATATAGGACGAACTCAGCCTCTGCCAAAAACTGGGTACCGATCAAAGAACCTTAGCGGGGCTTAGTCACGTTACAGGCAAGGGAAAGGTACTATCTCCCCTTCTCTGCCTTGACTGACTGAACCTTCCTACCACCAGAGTGAAACTATCTGGGTGTGAATTCAAAGACCCTAGGAAAGGCTCAGTGACTAATTGGGGGAGGGTACCAGGGATCGAATGCAGACTTGTGCTTGCCAAGCAGGTGTCAGTGACCAATTTTAAGAGATGGAAGCCTTAGCCTTGGTGGCAGTCCATGCTTGTAGTCTCTTCTCTCTGGGGCTAAGAGGCTCTATGTGATTACTGATAAGGCCCAAAGGGTAACTTCTGAATGATGTCCTCGGGAACTGGTACAAAAGAAAGCAGTGGATTGAGGATGCATCTTAGCTCCCTGACAACTACTAAGACCCCTGGTCTCTTTTGCATTGTCAAAACATGAAATAAAATTTTCTCCTAAAGCAGTTTTTCTCATTTGCTCTTACAATAGCTTTTTGTTGACTTTTCTATCCCAAACTAGAAACTGCAAAAGAGGCAGGGACTGTATCTTTTTTACCTCCTCTATATCTCCTACCACATATCTTTACTCTAAAAACTTAATGGAAATCTGCAATGTAGCACAACACTTTTTAAAAAATACCTTTAATAAATAAAGAGAACTCTGGTCCGAGGGAGATTTGAGAAAGTTTCTGGCATCTTCCGAACTTTTGCATAATTGATAAATCCTCTGAGAAACAGGAGAAAGCCTAATTTAAAAAAGAAAAGTCAAGAATGAATTTACAATTTTCATGTTAAGTTTTTCCCCCAGAAATAACTCTTCTGATAGCAATACCCTGTCATTTTTCTACTAAAGGCTATTAAAACATGAAACATTTCCTTCAGTACCTCCAAAGGATTTTCATACCAAATTATCCATTCCTCAATGAGTCAAAAATCAAAAGTTTCCTTTGCACATTCAGAATTTAATTGCTCTAACAGGAAACAGAAAAATAAAATGGGGGCCTGGGGATTTAGCTCACTTGGCACTGCGCCTGCCTTGCAAGTGCAAAGTCCTGAGTTCAATCCCCAGTACCAAAAAATAAAATAAGGCCAAACATTTATATCTGGAAGCCTCACTGAGAAGCACAACAAAACCTATGTACTGTTATTCCAAAAAAAATCATTGCAAGATAACTAAAAAAAACAATGAGAGGTTAGAACTTTTTCTCAAGTTGGAGGGAGATCTATTTGTTCAGTGATTTCTTTTTCTGTTGGCAGTACATAATGTTGTCCACTAGATGTCAGGGTCCTCCCAGTAATAATCCTCACTAGTCTCAATTCTGAACTCTTAATCTCTACTTGTATTAAATTCCAATTTTCTATCCACCCACCCACCTACCCATATAAGTCAGCCTGTCTGATTATCTATCTTTGCAAGTGCACTACCACTGATCTTCATTTCCAGCCTAAGGCTGATTCTGTACAAATGCACTAGAATCTACAAATTCACACCTCTTCCAAAGGCCGGGGGTGGTGGGGCTGGTGTGTGTTCCACGAAAATCCACACACTCCTGACCTTCTCCTTCAGAGCCGGTCTCTGAGTTTTTTTTGTTTGAGTCAGGGTCTCACTGCGTAGTTCACTCTCATTAAGAGAGTGATGCCTCCTGCCTCAAGCTCCCAAGTGCTGGGATCACAGGTGTGCACCACCACGCCCAGCTGGTCCCCGAGTCTTAAGCATATTTTAAAACACCCTTACTGAGATACAATTTATGTATCATAGAGTTCATTCTGTACCATAAACTAGGCTTTAGTGTACTTACAGACCTGTACAGATCCCTTAAGGTAATTTTAAAACATGCTTATCACTCCCCCAAACCTTATATCAACCAGCAGTCACTCTTAATATACCTACCCCTCCTCCCATTGGCCCAGCCCCAGGCGATTGTTCAGCTTTCTTTTGGACACATTTTAAATTTAAATTACATTCAATGGCGCAAACTCTTTATAATCAAACAGAATGATTTTTGACAATAACGAAGAGTTGTCAGTGCTCAATTTGGTGCATACCATTCTGTTTGGTACCAAAAGCACGAAAGTATATACAACAAGGGTCTGTGTCAAGCAGGAGCCTTCTAAAATGGAGAGCACAAAACCTCTTAAAAAGGGGGGCGGGGAGACAGCTACACCCAGCTCAGTCCCAATCAAAAGATACCTCATGAAAATACAGATGGGCTCTCCTAGCTATTCCAACTTTTAAGAAAATTTAAAAATTCAGGCATCATGTGAGAAATCTTGACTTTTAAATGTTGGAAATCAATGTTTAAAACTTCTAAAATAACCATGGAACAAACAAACTCAATTTGGGTTAGATGCAGTCCATAAATTGCTAGGTTTATGAGCTCTGCCCTTGCAGAAGACACTCCATAAAACTGATCTGTCCAGGCTGGGGATTTAGCTCAGTGGTTCCGGTGCCTGCCGCACAAGCGCAAGGACCTGAGTTTGATTCCCCGCACCAAAAACAAAAACAAAAATTGATCTGTTCAAAGAGAAGCTCCCACCCTGAGCCAAGCATTGGGGGCAAATAAGTGTATCTGAAGTTCCAGCATGTTTTGCTCATAAATAAATAGCATACAATAAGAATGATAACAAAAAGTATACAAATCCATCCCCCATAAGGCTTTAATATAAAAAGGAAAAACATTAATTCCTTTAAATAACTTATGCTATCAACAATCAACCTGAAAATATGCTTAATGACTCTGCTCCACTCAAGACTTTACTTAATGTTAGGTTCAGGTGAAGAGAGGTGGGCAGGGTCTCCCTTAAAAGTACAGTTTAAAGCATGAGCAAGACAATGAATCAGTCTTCATAAATTATTCTCCTTGTCATTCATTTTTATTTATTGGTACTGGGATCGAACTCTGTATATTTTTATTTTTTTTGGTTTTTTGAGACAGGGTCTCATTATGTAGTTGAGATTGACCTGGAACTCACTATGTAGCCCAGGCTGGTCTAGAACTCACAGCGAACCTCCTGCCTCAGCCTCCCGAGTGCTGGGATTATAGGCATGCGCCACCATGCCCGGCTAATCATTTTTATTATTAAACTTCTTAATAATCAAGGGTTAAAAAACAAAATCACTATTTCTCTTAGACAGGGTCTCATTATGTAGTTGAGATTGACCTGGAACTCACTATGTAGCCCAGGCTGGTCTAGAACTCACAGCGAACCTCCTGCCTCAGCCTCCCGAGTGCTGGGATTATAGGCATGCGCCACCATGCCCGGCTAATCATTTTTATTATTAAACTTCTTAATAATCAAGGGTTAAAAAACAAAATCACTATTTCTCTTTCTGGAATTACTGGAATTCCAATGACCAAGAGTACAGCAGGTGATGCTATTGGGGGTGGATAACGCAACAGATGACTTGTACTTTCCAGGTAAAATTCAGTCAATGATGCATGGCTTCCAGCCTAAGCAAATAGTTTAAGCACCTGGCAGGCACTAGTACTAGGCTGCCCTAGCCAGTCCCATTAGCAGCAGCACCACCATCAAGCACCTAATAAGGAGGCATAAGAAGGCCCAAGCCAGGAGAAAGGAGGAAGTGATGTCACAGATGTACAGTAAATCAATCACATGATCTTTAACAGTTACAAGATGGCCCCACTACTGCTTTGTAGAAATGACAGCAATTGATGGTGGACTCGGTGCATAACATACATTTTCTTTATAAATAATGAAGAAGTTACATTACAATAATTCATCCTAGCATTCATTTAATTTTTAGGAAAGGATTTTAAAATATTTAGAGCAAAAAACGTAATCTGAAGAATGACAGCCTGTACTACCTAGACATATTTTTTAAAAGCCTTCTACCCATTCAAAAATAATTCTTATGCTCCCCAATGGTAAACTGAAGAATTCTACAAACCCAATAATGGTTCATTCAGAAGTTATATCTGATAACACATTTTGTTTACTGACAGATTAACCAAAGATAAGCTATATACAGCCATGAGTTAGTTCAGCTGGTTATAATGTGCCTATAAGCAAAAAAAGGCTTAGTTTGTGAACGTTTTGTGGCAATAATTCACAGGGGGTAGGGGAATCCACAGACCAGAGTCATCTTATTAGTGTACTCTGATCACAGGAGAGAAACAGACATAGAGGGTTAGGAAAAAGCTAATCCTACAAAGATACTTTATAAATGTGCATGTTAATTTGATGGTGACAACTGCTTCATTATTATGAAAGAAACATTTTTTAAAATTATACTTTAAATTGCTGAATATATTATTATACAATGAATGATGACACTTTACTAAAAGTAATTTTACTTATGGAATTTAACATAACATTTTTCTCCTTATGTTAAAAGTACTTACCTAAAACCAGGAACACCCACCAGAGCCAGTACTGACCATCAAAATATCCAGGAAAATAGGTGGAAAACTGGAAAAAATGAGGCAAACACTTTACAGCAAATTAACAGGCACAATTTCATATATTAATTTAAGGACATACAAAATACAAGACTTTGTTATGCCATTGCTTAACAATGCTTCATCCTTACAATAATTTCAAAAAGTGTTTTATTTATTTTCTTTCTTTTTCTTCTGAGGAAAGGTCTCATTATATAGTTCAGGCTGGCCTTGAACTCACTATGTATAGTCCAGGATGGACTCGAAATCATAACAATCCTCCTGCCTCAGCCTCAGCGCTAGGATTACAGGCACGAACCACCATGACCATCTTAATGTTTTATATATTACTGATATGAAAGTTGTGACAAATGCAGATTTGTTTCCTTTCATAAAAAAGCAATCTTTAAATAGATCAGCTTTATAGTTTTTGAAAGCATACAAATTCTGTTTTTTAAAAAAGTTTTGCTCACATAGTATTTACCCTTTTAGAAATATGCATTAATGATAATTTTACTTTGCTTATCCAATAGTGCTAAAGCCAACTGTTTGGCTGGTATGCCAACTTATAGTGAATGAATTCGTTTTGTCTCTAAGGCCAACACTTGCAATAAACATATCTCAAGTCACAGAATACTCAGGCCGGGGATTTAGCTCAGAGGTGCTGCCGCCTGCCTTGCAAGCACAAGTTCGACACCCGGTACCAAAAAAAAGGTCACAGAATACTTAAAATTTTTTTTGTTTTTCTTTTTGAGACAGATCTCACTATGGTTTCAGCCTCACTATGGAGCCCAGGTTAGTTTCAAACTCAGAATCCTCTTGCCTTAGCCTCCTGAGGAGCACAACAATGTATTCAGCTAGAAAATGTTTTTAAAGCTAAGATCTCTGAGAACTTTAAGGTATTTCATGCAACTTTAACAGGCAACTCCCAAATCTATGAAAACATACACCTCTTTAATTCACTCCACAGACTGACCCCTAACAGTGACAGTTGTTGAATACTTTTGTATCCCCAAACATTGTGGCATGACTAGTCCTGGAAAGAAGGTAAGGAGGGACAGAAGGAAGGGCAAGGAAGGAGAAGAGTAATTATGTGAAGAATTAATGAGAGGAATGCCTACTTTTGGCGGGGGGGAGGTACCGGGGATCGAACTCAGGTCCTTGCACTTGCAAGGCAGGCCACCGAAGCGCCGAGCTAAATCCCCGGCCCCTGAATGCCTACTTTTGATAAGACATGATAGAGATGATAACCTTTTTATTACAAAACAACTAACTTCAGATTGTACACATACAAAATATTATAGGCACTAAAAACAAAGCAAGGAGCTGGTGAAACACCTGCAAAATAGACCAAAGCCAATAGACTTCACTATAAATCTGTAGATGTAAACACTTGCAACTGATTTTTGTTCAACTTTATCATAAAACCAGAAGACAAAGCAAATAGAATTTTAAATGTTGACAAAAGAGGCCGGGAATTTAGTTTACGGTTTCTGCCACCTGCCTTGCAAGCACAAGGATCCCAAGTTCAATCCCAGGTACCAAAAAAAAAAAAAGCGTTGACACAAGCTGCGAATGGTGACACATGCTGTAATCCCAGCACTCTAGGAGGCCGAAGCAGGAGTATCACAAGTTTGAGTCTAGTCTGATCATTCAGTGACTTAGAGAGACACTGTCTCAAAAAGAGGGAGGTGTAGTTCAGTGCAAAGGCTTCACAAAGAAAAAAAAAATGTTGAGACAATATTTAAAAATCAAAGACCCAAAATTATTTAAATTTTCGTCTCTTGGCAGAATTTACCTTTTCTGTTGTACAACTTACCCTGACAATCAGGATCCACTTAATTAGAGAGAGACCGAATCCTGAGATGGCTCCATACCTTCCTGCAGCTGAGGTGGTCAGGCAAAAAGACAGGAAAAATCCAATCCAGTTGAAGAGGAATGCCACTGTAAAAACAGAGCAGGAAAAGATTTAGACATGACTTGTTAGCCGAAGAATAACCGTGCTCTTTACCTGTGCCTCTGCTTAAAAGACTTTCCCAAGGATAAAAGATGACTTGCCCTTCACAGCCCTCACCTCACCTCCTCTGCAACACCTTTCTGTCTTCCCCTCTAAGCAACAAGAAAATACCTTGTCTGACTAGCATGTTTTACACTATTATGTCTATTGCTACTCACTTAAATTCATCAAACTGTGTGCTCATGACCTGTGCTCTTTGCAGTGCGTTGAATATGAATATTTAAATAAACTGTTTGTAAGTGCAAAGTCCTGGACATTAAATTGCTGCTCCTAAATCATCTGATTCAAACTATTTATCTTCCTTCTCTGTGAATTCTTAAGAGTTTACATAAAAGCACTTCTAAAAGCATTGCATTTTGTTTTTAATAAAGCTAATAAAATAACTGCTCATATCTAAGTGAAGCTGAAGAAAAAACAAATACAAAATAATCAAGGAGAAAAATCAGGCTCACTTTCATCTATCAGACAATAGAACCTTTCAGAAAAAAAAAATCCATCAGAAAAAGGCACACATATGAATCCTATTCAAGAGATGAACATGAATAGGAGCAATGCTGGAAGCTCTGCAGACCTAAAAGATGAATATCAGCTCATGCAAAAGTGCAGCACCCCTATTACTGCCTTAAACGTATTTGTCATAGCTCCCTCATTGGCACGAAGTGACCACTTGCATGTATATACTTACTGAAAAAAGTTAACATGAAAATCCCATCATTTCCTATCCTCAGCTGGTCAGCATCATCAAAATCATCCCGACCCACAAAATCCTCATCCTAAATAAAAAGAATAGGTAAATTAATAATAAATTATTTCTAGGCAAAGGAAAGATATCAAGAAAGAAAAGAGGGAAAATATGAGAAGCAAGGACGAAATGTATTCTGATTCAATTCAAAGCTATAAGCATTAGAGTCTCAATATAGGTTAAAATTTTTATTTTGCATTATACATAAACAGAGCTGAAACAAATCTTTTTTTCCTATCTGCAGTTTTCTAAATCAATGTTTCATTTTATAATTCAAATTACTTTTTTGGTGCTTGGGATCAAACTCAAGGTCCTTATGCATGCTAAGCATGAACTCTGATACCCATACACAACCCCAATCCAAATTCTTATAGCAATACACCTCAAAAATTGAAAGTTCACAGTTCTTTTCTTTTTTAAAAATATATCTCAGGAGGGCCGAGGATTTAGCTCAGTGTGCCGCTGCCTGCTTCACAAGTGCAAGGTCCAGAGTTTGACCCCCAGTACCAAAAAAAAAAAAATGGTCCATGGATTTAACTCAGTGGCACCATACCTTCCTTGCCAAGTGCAAAGTCCTGCGTTTTATCCCCAGCACGCACACACACAGATATATGAAAAAACGAAAACAATTACATTTGGCTGAGATACTACAGTCTTAGTCTAGGGCATGTTTATGACCTATGGCAGTGATTCCAATGATACAGTCTGCTACCACTGCCTATGGTATTAGTAATCAGGGCCTACTGAGGAGATAATATTGACCAGCTAGGGAGGGTGGTGGTAAATCAACAATATAAGCATATGTAAGAGTCTATATAGAGTTGCCCACGGCTCAACTCCATTAGCATTTGTTTGTACTGGTACACAGATCCAAAAAAAACACCTCCAATCTTACTGGCAAGTAAGATCTTTTTAATCCTATCTTGAAAAGACAGTATTGTAGCTCTATAAGAAACAATGATCCTGATTAGAATCAACGTATGTGACTATCTTTTCAACTGACACAGGTATATATTGAGATATTTAAAAGTAACAATATAATTTAAAAGTAAAAGTGTTAAGAGCTCTACCTAGCTCAAAGATGGTTCTTCAAATGAAAAAGAAAATGTCCCAAGGAACATTTCCTAGCCAGAAAATGGACCAGGAGGATCCAAACTGTAGTTACCAAACCGTAACTAGAAGTTCTCCTATGAGTGTAAACTAGAGCAAAAAGACATGTCAGTGACAACTTCCTTTTCTAACTGCATACCACACTTCCTCTATGTTTGCAATTTTTATAAGAACGCATTTTATAATTTTTAAAAACATTAAATATCACAATTCCGACTTGGCAGAAAAATACTTGTGCATAAGTGCTCAGACATACACTTTTTTTTTTTTTTTTTTTGTACTGGGGATCCAACTTGGGACCTTGAGTTTGTGAGGCAGGTGGTGGAACCACTGAGCTAAATCCCCAGCCCCTATATACTCTTGAAATACATGGGTATAGATTCTAATAACACTAGAAATGCCTTCTAACTATTCTTCTTGTCCTTCATATCTCTTCTGCCATGATTTCTCCCATAAATTCTTGCCAGATTAATGTTTCCAAAACATTACAACAGTCCTTCCATACTCCTGCTCAAAAACTTTGAAGGACTCTGTGTGTTTTTTTTGTTTTGTTTTGGTACTAGGAATCGAACTCAGGTCGTTGCGCTTCCAAGGCAGGTGGCAGAACCACTGAGCTACATCCCCGGCCCTGAAGGACTCTTTGTGAGCTACTTACTGTACTAAGTTTTTATGTCTCAGCCTAGCATTCCAAGAATTCTGCAAACAAAAGTTTTGGTCTTACCTTTACCCTTCACAAATGTCCTACTCATGCAAAACCAATTGCTATATCCACAGTACTGCCCCAAACCTGGTTGAATTCATATCTTTCTGGGCTTTTTCCCTCTGGAACTCTTATCCATCATCTTCCATGATCACCTAGTAAAGTCACAGATCTTGACGCCCAATGCTCTTATATAGCGTAGATATATTTGTTGGCCTTTTACCCTAGCTGGATTTTAGACTTTGTATCCTGACTAACACACTGCAAAATATATAGCACCTTATAGGAAAAAAGTGTCACATATACGTATGTATGTGTGTGTGTGTGTGTGTGTGTGTGTGTGTGTGTGTGTATATATATATATATAATAAGCTTCTAAATGTTCTCCTGTCAAAAGAATTCTGAAGCGTTCTGTAATTAGAATTAATCTCCACATTTGCATATTTACCATATTCCCAACAGTTCTGCAGAATACAGTAAAACATACAAGGAAGCCCTTTGGAGTCTACTCTGTTCAAAGCTGACTCACTTTGGGTACTTATTAACCAAATGACTTTGGGCAATTGGTCCTAAATTTTTCCATCTTTTGAAAACAATATGCAAAATACAGAAGAGCATTCAGCATAGTACCCAGCATATCTGCTTCTAATATACGGCTGTTACGTGATGACTGTTTTGTCTTCTGACAATAAGCTCTGTGAGGTTTAACAGTTTTTTTCCTGGTACCTGTAAGATCTGAATACAGAGCCGAGGATTTAGCTCAGCGGTTCGGTGGCCTGCCTTGCAAGCACAAGGACCTGAATTCAATCCCTGGTACCAAAAAAAAAAAAAAAAAGATTTGAATACATATTAGCATGGAAGTTCAGCCTAAACTAGGCTCATACACTATTTCTCCCAAACTAGGGTTTTCAGAGAGCTACTCCTTATAGTAGGTACAGTTATAAATAATCTATGTATTACCCTTAAGACAGAGGAACCTATGGAACCATAGGCATAGAGCCTATGCCACTGTACTGCCAGACTAGGCTTCTAGGCTTCTGTTTTTGTTTTTATGATTCATTCCAATTTCCTGCCAAGATTACAGGTTGGAACCTTAATCACCTCCACGTTCCTGGAGACTGTATCCTGCCCTCATTCTTCCAACATCTGGCCTGGGGCCCTAACCACATCAATCTGCACAAATATTTAAGAAACCACATCTATATCACTTACAAATAAAGCTAATGTCAAGAGCCAAGAGTACCCAAAAAGCAGTGCAGGCTCACATCACATCCTACCTTAATCTCCATAAATAAATAGTGCACTAGATGGGACATCTCACTGTATCCCTATAAATGGCATGATCTGAACTGTTGGAGGAACATGGTTCATCTATATGGCTGTTCAAGTCCATTTTATGAGTTGTTCTCCCTAGAGATCTCCCTACCATCTACACACAACACCCAAGTATTAAGAGTGCAGAATCAAGAAAAAGTCAATGTATTTCCAAAACCAGCTCCTGCTCCAAGATGTCTCAGCCACCCCAGCAGATATAAGAAGGCAGAGATGCTTACAAGTCTTAGAAATAGGGAGAATCAGCTAGTTTGACTGATGATTTTTCTGCTTATTTATACCTCTTAATCTCATCATTTTCAGGAAAGAGATGTTTATTATCCGAAAAAAACCGTATGTGTTTAAAATTAACTAAGCTCAGACTAATCAACCATAATAACTCAAAATTGGGTAACAAAAACTATTAACTCCCATAAAGCTGCCCATCAAGTATTCAGGATAGCAAATTACACTTACTCTTCCAGGAACCAAAGGAATGGTAGCTTCAGCCTTGGTTCTCTCAGCTTCATCATAACTGGGCAGTGTTGTAGCCACATTATAAGATGGAGGCTTTGGAAACCCAGACTCATCTTTGTAGTCAAAATATGCTGGAGAAGAAAAAAGGAAGTCACAATATCTGATGATTAATTATCTGAACTAAAGGAATAAAAGGATCCCACAAATTGTAGCAAACTAAACCCAGGCATTTTCCTAAGGGTACATGTAGCATAACTGAACCAAAAGACTTTTATAGTTGAACATAAGAATAAGGGGGCGATTTTTAAAATGTATCCACTTCCCAGTTTCTTAAAGCCCAGATTTACTTTGCAACTTAACTTCCAATTTCTTTTTAAACACCACTGTAGATTTTCTCAAAAAGAATTCAATTTTAATAGAGAAATAAAGTAAGCTAAAAATACTATGTATGTACATCTGTATTGATTTTTTTTCTAGTGTCAAACAGGAAAATTAACTTTAAAGGGGAAAAAAAGCTTAAAATTGATTTTTTATCCATTTGTTTTGGTACTTTGACTCTAAAGTAATTCAGCTACAGAACAATTATTTATCTCTATTAAATACTTTATTTTTTATATTGTACCTGCATTTTCACTGACCTCTATTATAAAAGATTCAATATAATCAGCAAAATGCATTTGTAAGTGGATTAAATGTCTCCACAATTTTTAAAATTTCAATTTTTGAAAAATTTCTATAGTTCAACATTAGTATTTTTCTTTAAAGCCAGAATTTTTACTGTATCAATGTATCTTATTAATAAAAAATATTGTATCTTGAAATAGAAAAGGTAGAACAAATTCAATATTCACTAAAAACAAATACATACCAAAATAGGAATAAAATCTTCCTTAATCTCATCACAAATCTCTACCAAAAAAAGGGAACAAATTACTAAATATTTCTCCACTAATATTAGAGAATGAGATAAAATGTCTACTACTGGTACCACCACTTCTAACCAAACATTTAAGTCCTACTTGGTACAAAATAGCAAGAAAATGAAAGACATAAGAACTGAAAGGGGGGTTGGGGTATTGCTCAGTAGTAAAGCCCTTGTCTAGCATGTAAGGCCCAAAGTTCAATTCCTAGTACCACCAAAAAAGAGAAAATAGGAAGAAGTAATTATCAATCACAGATGACATTATTGCATATGGAGAAAACAAAAAAGAACTCAAAGCTAAGCTACCAAACTACATGAATTTAGCAAAGTTTCTCTGCACATTATTAATATAATCCATCAACTGTACTTGCACAGGCCAACAACAAACAACAGCATCGAAATACGCGAAACACACAGGATTGCAGCTAGTAAAAGATGTGTGAGACCTCTACATTCGAAATTATAAAATACCGAAAGAAATTTAAGACCTCAATAAGTGGATGTATATATCATGTTCACAAGTCAGAAGACTTAATGTTATAAAGATGTTAATTCTCAGGCCGGGGATTTAGCTCAGCAGATCTGCCGCCTGCCTTGCAAGCACAAGGTCCCAAGTCCATTCCTCGGTACCAAAAGAAAAAAAATATGTTAATTCTCTTCAAACTTATCTTAAAATTTAGTGTAAAATCAAATTAACCTTGATCATTACTTCATACTATACAGAAAAATCAGCTCCAGATAGAATGCAGATCTAAATGGGAGAAGTAAAATAACAAAAATTTAAAAATTAAATACAGGAAAATAAGTTATTGAAATTAAAACTGCCATGCAATCCAATTTAAGGAACTTACTTTGTTTCATATCAAAACACACACACATGGGCCAGGGATTTAGCTCAGTGGTGCCGCTGCTTGCCTTGCAAAAAAGCACAAGGTGCCAAGTTCGATCCCCAGTACCAATAAATAAATAAATAAGCAAGCAAACATACATACATATGTGTATGTATATACTAAAACATTTCATACTTTTTTCTATAAAATTTTTTTTACTTTTAATCTAATTATACCAAGATATATTACAAATTGAACCCTATAATTTGAGTTAGCCTATTACTGTAGTAATTCTAAACACACTAACAAAACTGATGTCTTTTAAGTGAGGACTATCAAAGAACATTTTTATTTCTCTCTTTCAACAGAATGATATGGGGCTGGATGTAGTGGCATACACCTGTAATCCCAGTACTCCAGAGGCCGAGGCAGACGGATCACTAGAGTTCAAGGCCATCCTGGATTACACAGTGAGTTCAAGGAAGTCCTGAACTACATAGTGAGACCATCTCAAAAAAAAAAAAAACAAAAAAACAAAACAAAACACCAAAACAAACAAACAAAAAAGAGTGAGAGATGTAGGTGAATGGTAGAGTGCATGACTGGCATGTCTGAGACCATCTGTTTAATTCCTACTACTGAAAAAAAAAATCTATTTCAAAATTTAAAAATAAGACCCCATCGATATGGATACCTTCTATAATGTTAAATTACCATGAAGAACTTAATATGGACAATCTTTTCAAGTTTATTTAGAACACTTAAAACAAAAATTATCCAATATTTTTTAAACTATTCAGATCTATAAACTCAAAATAAAGTAACCACAGATTAAGTGAATATACCAAGTAATGATTGATACTTTTTCCCGTCAACATACTGCATGTGCCTTCTATTTTTTTAACCATTGCTCTCATAAATGTACTATATGTATGCATAGTCAACATTTATCTAAAAAGTAAGCAATACTAATTTAACAATGAAGGGGGAAAGGCCACTTTAGAGGTTTTCTTCTCTCTTTTATTTGTTTGCAGTACTAAAGACTGAAACCTAGGGCCTTGCACTGAGCTATACCCCTACCCCTCACCCTTTTAAATATATATATATATATACATATAGTTAGTTAGTTAACTAGTTAGCTAGTGGTACTAGGGTTTGAACCCGGGGCCGTCACAGTGAGCTACATCCTCAAACCTTCTCATTTTTAATTTTGAAACAGAGCCTTGCTAAGTCACTAAATTACCCAGACTATGGGTTTGAACTTGTGATTCACCTGCCTCAGCCTCCTAGAAAGCTAGGATTACAGGTGTACACAATTAGTTGAAGACTTCTATTTTGTTTGGTACAGGGGATCGAACTCAGGACCTTGCACTTACGAGGCAGGTGCAGAGCCACTGAGCTAAATCCTTGGCCCTGAGGATTCTTTTCTTTTGCTACTAGGAATCGAACTCAAGTCCTTGGCTCTTGCAAGGCAGGCGCAGAGGGCCAGGGGTTTAGCTCACTGGTGTCGCTGCCTGCCTGGAAATCGCAAGGACCCATTCGATCCATGGTCCCCTCCCACCCAAAAAAACAAAAAAAAAGGGAGGAGGCAGAGCCACTGAGATAAATCCCCAGCCCCTGAGGATTATTTTCTTAAAAAAGGTAAAAGGTGGTGGTGGGGAGAAAGAAAACGCCAGTTAATAAGTAACAAAAAAATTAATTTTGAGTAATTTTCAATATATAAAAGCGTATTTTACTGATACCTAACTGGAACACAAAGAGCTCAACAGAGACCCAGGAAATTTCTTTCCCATTCTTTTCTTCTTTTTTTCGTGGCCTCTGAGTATTTAGATGCAATATCACAAAACTCAAGACTATAGGTAAGGGAAACAGCTTATCTTTACCTTATTCCAAGCTTGAGAAGCTTTGTTATTTACTATTCAGGCCCACAAACACAGAGGAGGGACCCACGCTGGCAGCCATGGGATGCACCCCGACAATAAGGTGAGAGGAGAGAGAGGACCCATTCTTTAATCAAAACGTTCACACATTTCAATGATAAAGACATCCATGTAGGACAGAATAAGGCATCTACCAGAGAAGGCTTCCAACTGTAACCCCTAAATTATAAAGAAAAATTTAAAAGAATATAAAGATGGTAAGTAAATAAGGAGCGAAGCAACTAAGACAAAAATTCTATCTAAAATGGTCAGCAGTTTTACAACTAAAGAAGGTAGCTGCTCCTCACACAAAGGACTCTTATCTAGAATATATAAAGAACTCAAAACAATCAGCCCCCCAAATATAAAGACCCGATTCAAAAATGGGCATCTGAAATGAACAGACATTTCTCAGAAAAAGAAGTAAAAGCAGCAAGTAAATATATGAAAAAATGCTCCACATCACTGGTCATTCGAGAGATGCAGATGAAAACAACACTGAGATTCCACCTCACCCCACAAAGAATGGCTGCTATCAAGAAATCACACAATAACAAATGTTGGCGGGGTTGTGGGGAGAAAGGAACCCTTCTCCATTGTTGGTGGGAGTGCAGACTGGTGCAACCACTATGGAAATCAATATAGAGATACCTCAAAGAGCTTGGACTGGAGGTTCCATTTGACCCAGCCATCCCTCTGCTGGGCATCTTTCCAAAAGAACTAAAAGAATCATATCACAGTGATGTATGTGCACCCATGTTTATAGCAGCACAGTTTGCAATAGCTAAAATTTAGAAACAGCCCATTTGCCCATCAGTTGGAAACTGGATAAAGATGTGGTTTTTCTATAAAATGGAATATTACTCAGCCATAAAGAGCGAGAGAATAGATTCATTCATAGGAAAATGGATAC